GTTATTGAACACTGAATTCTCAAAGTTTCAGATATTGGCTTGTGCTGAAGACTTGATAATTTTCTTATTAAATTCAACCTAAAATTATAAGCAAATACAGTGCTTATATGCAGAACTTATACTGCAGTCAAGTCATTTAGATAATAAATAATGTTATTTGAATCCCAGGTAATGTCAGGTTGTTTCATATACTTCCTGTGCATTCGAACATTAAAACACAAAGCAAGATCACCATTCTTACCAAATTTGTAGCTGATGAATTTTCTAAGCTCATGCTGTATTTCCAGCAGCGTGTTTTGGACCATGGTGTGAATATTTCGACATTTCAAAATCTATTTAACAGTGCCGTTGAGCAGTTTCCACCTAACTTTAGAAGTGATGAATGTGCAATGTAGTGACATGCTAAAAAGCATGCAATCTAATTTTATAAATGCCAGCTAAGCAATAAATATACTCAATTGAAATTGTATGCTCATGGATTGATACTAGTTATTTGGCATCACCTGTCTATGTGAAAAGATATTTTCAAAGATCAAGTACATAAAATCTCATTATATATCTGCTTTAGCAAGTGAAAATTTGTAGCTGATTTTGATGATAAGTATTAACTTTGAATCACAATGAAGGCAAACGTTACCACCCTCAGAATATTTCTATCCTTTTCATAGTAGATGGCTGTTATGATAAATCGTACTCAATTATTATTATTATTATTATTATTATTATCATATTTTGAATTTGTCAATAAAATATTTGTGAATATTTGTTTTCTCTTTTCTTATATTAATACCTATATAATATTCCTTGAATTTGCCTCTTGGTGGAAAAGCCTAAAATATTTACTTTCTAGACCTTTATAGGAAATGTTTGTTGACTCTTACAGGAATGACACCAATTTTACACATTAAACTGTCTGAATCAAATTTATCAATCAATGGAATAACAAATACTGCAATACTCTCATGTTTTAAACAGGACTTTTGTCTTATCAAGTTTGCTTTTTACTGTTCTCATTTACAATCTTAGTTCAAGTTTGGTTTTTGGGTGAATGAATACTACAATTATGTGAGGCTATGTTAAGGGAATACTTTTGAATGAGTTGAAAAGATCTGGAAATATGTGAAATATTAGAAGGCAGATAATGGGTTAGAAGGACAGTTCGATTAAGGGAAGCAAAGGGGCTGAATAGAATATAGGTGGATTTGGCAGATTAGAGGTGGATTTTTTTTTTTTTTTGGTATGTGCCCCTATTAGGAACTAAACCCGGGGCTCTCTGGTCCACAGGCCGTCGCTTCAACCGTTGAGCCAAAACTTTTACTTGGTGCATTAGGACTCACCTTCTTCTGTTTAGTTTTGAGAAAATCCGATACGTATTTGTGCAGTGGTATAGAAGGTCATACATAAATTGCTATGAGATTGCAAAATACAATGGTTTATTTCTATTTATGTTGCATTAATAAAGATGTCAGAAAATTACTTCAGGCAACTTTAACCCTTATTCCATTTGTTTTTTTTAATCCTCACCTGAGGACATTTTTGCATTTATCTTCAGATAGAGCGGGAGGGTGAGGGGGAGGAAGAGAGAGAGAGAAACATGGATATGAGAGAGACACATCGAGGGGTTGCCACCCACATGACCTCAACTAGGGCTGGGGACAAACTACAACTAGGGTTGGGGACAAACTACAAACTACCCTAAGTGGGAACTGAACACGACACTCTCAAGTCCACAGGCCGACGCTCCAACCACTGAGCCAAACCGTCCAGGGCCCATTTGGTTTTTTATTAACCCAAATATCACCATTAATGTGACAGTATTGGAAATTTATAATTTATAATTCTTTAAAAAGTTGGATCTCTGTAAGAGTGCTGTAAGATATAGATTATGATATCCAGTGGTTTGGGGATACAAAAGGTATTATAAAACTTGTTATTACCCATAATAATCGTTTTAGACTTTTGTATCTTTAAATACAGTTAAATCTTTAAAAACTGACTAATGCACTCAGATGATAAAATTTGCAAAATTGTACAAAAGGGTGTTCAATGAAAATCGAGGTTCTCCCTCTTTTTTTTAGACCCCCATTTCTACCCTCCAATGTTAATTCATTGAAAAATGTATGTATCTTTCCAGAATGTATATACAAGCACATACATATATATAAATAGTTTTCTTTACTTAAGTGGGGTTGTTCTGTGCATGGTCTTTTGCTTTGTTCTCTTAACATCTAAGAAATCTTAATAGGGTACAGTGTTTTACTGCTTTCATGTAACATAATTATTTAATTAATTTATTTATTTATGGACATTTAAGTAATTTTCACTTTGTTAATATTGCCAGGGTGGATGCAGGTTTTATGGAGACTGAGGCTTACACACTGAAGCTTACACAATGGGGGGGGGGACATCTAGAACAAATACTATGCTTATTTACAAATATAAAATTAAGTACAGACCCTTGGAAGGTATGCAAACAAGGTGGCTGAAGGTTATGTGTCATTAGCATTATAGTGAGTTTACCTTCTTTACTGCGTTTACAAGTAATGCCACAATGAGCGTCCTTGTGATTATATTTGTATACTTGTTGAAATGCATATTTTGAAAAGTTTTAAATATTTTTTTTTATTGAGTTTTGAGAGAAAGGAAGGAGATATAGAGACATTGATATGAGAGAGAAACATTGATTGGCTGCCTCCTGCACGTCCCCTACTGGGGATCAAGCTGCAACCCAGACATGTGCCCTGATCAGAAGTTGAATCAGGACCTCTCAGTCCATGGGACGATGCTCAATCCATTGAGCCACATCGGCCAGGATTTTTTGGTTTTAAGTCACCCACTATTTCAATCCCACACCCCTCTAAGTGTTGAGAGTTTTATTTGTAGTAATCTGGTTCTTCTGTGTTTTTACATACAAACACACATATACCATAAGCATATTGTATTAGTCTCCTCTGGCTGCCATAACAAAATACCAGAAACGGGTGCATTAAACAACTGCAATTTATTTCTCACAGTTCTGGAGTTTAGAAGTTCTAGATCAAGGTGCCGCCAATTTGGTTCCTGCTTAGACTGCCTTCCTGGCCTGTAGACTGCTCCTTCCTTGTGTACTCACACGACTTCTTTGTGTGTGTCTGGAGGAGGAGAGGGAGCACAAGCAGACTCTCTGGTATCTCTTCTTATAGGGACACTAATTCCATCCTGAGGGCTCCACTCTCATGGCATCATCTGACACTAAGTACTTCCCAGAGGCCACATCTAAAAACACTATCATATTGGCAATTAGGAATTTTAAGGGGATACAATTCAGTCTATAGCACACATACAGACATTAATTTTAATATAGATGGAACCATTCTATATGTATTCTGCATCATGCCTTTTAATTTAAATATATGCCTTAGAAGAACTCATAAGTGTGCATTTCATTTTTTAAAGTGGCTACATGCTCTCCCGTCTCTTAAATGGATTAAAATTTATTCAGCTGTTTTCCTGTTGATGGACATTTAAATGTTTTTTAAACAGTTGCAACAAACATCTTGATATCACATTTTGTGCACATGGTTAATTATTTTGGTAAAACAAGTTTGTAGATGATCACAGAATATTCTGATTTGAGGTTTGAGAGACAATTTCACATAGACTTATGAAAAATTGGTGCCAATTTTGTCACATCAGCAGTGTATATGTTTCATTTATTCTTTTCAATATTGAGAACACTGGATATTAACACCCTTTTATATACTTGCCAATTTTACCAGGTGAAAAATAACTTACTGTTTATTTAATCTGCAGATATTTAATTGTGGGTCAGGTTGTAAATATTTTCATCTGCTTGTTGATTATTTGAGTTTTTCTTGATGAGCTTCCAGGTGTGTTCTTTGATATGAGGTGTTTCATTTGAGGTTATCTTTTTTCTAAGGGTTTTTCTGCATTAAGAGGGCGGTTACTTGTAATTTGCATCACAAATATTGTTTGACAGTTTGACTTTTGCGTTTGACTTTACTTACCATCTCTTTAACTTAAAATAATTTACAATTTTAATAGACTTGAATTATTTCATTTATTTTTGTATATTTTGGGTTTCATGTATTGCTTTAAAAGGCTAAAGATAAAATTTTACTGTGCTTTGATAGTGTGCATGTTTTGTGGTAGAAATATGTCTATTCAGGACCAAATGCAGTTTATGTGACCATAAACTATCTGGTCTGTGAGTTCATATTAATTTTGTTTATTTAATTTTTTTCAAATCTATATAGAAAACACCTCTTAGACATTATTACAGTATGCACAAATAGCTTACTATCAGTTTACATTGTTATACAACTGAGCTCACTTTCTTTAATTTAAAATAAGGATGATGGAATCTAGCTCATAGGTTATGATATATCATATGCAAATAATGCTAGAAATAATTTACTCAATGCCTACTAAATATTAGTCATTATATTTGCATTAGTTTATTTGATCCTCAAAACAATGCTTTGAAGCAGGCATTACAGTACTCAAATCACAAATGAGAAAATGAGCTAAGTAACTTGCCCAGGATCTCAGATAAAAAGTGGCGAAACCAAAATGTAAATGTGTATTTGAAACTAAAAGCCATGATCTTTTCACTATACCCTCTTCCTGGGACGTGACGAAAATTTATTTAATTTAGTCCTTTCTTTTTTCTCTGTTTGCTGTTTGTTTCTCTTTGGTGAATAAAACTGTCTAAAAACGCACTACCAAAGAGTACTTACTGTGATTATTAAAATGTTCTGTTCTGCACAATCCAGTAAGGCAGCCACTAGTCAAGTGTGTCTATTCAGCTCTTGAAATGCGGCTAGTGCAACCGGGGAGCTGAAAGTTTACTTTACTTTAATTTAAATTACATTGCATCTGGCTACTGTTTTGGACATCACAACCTTAGATGTGTGAATGTGTGTGTGTGTGTGTGTGTGTATGTGTTTAATGAGGGTAATTAATGTATAGATTGATAATGAGGAAACTGTTCATTCTAGGTTGAAAACTTTAGCAGAGGAGCTTATGCAGACACAACAAATGCTTTTAAACAAGGAGGAGGCTGTCCTGGAGCTAGAGAAAAGAATTGAGGAATCTTCTAAGACCTATGAAAAGAAGTCTGAGTGAGTAAAACAAAAATAACTTGGAAAGAAGAAAGTGTGATTTTAATTTTACAAAAATACTTCAGTATTATGGATTTAAAGTTTCTAGAAGCTGAAATTTCATTTTAAGTATAAAACTTAGATACTTTCTAGGACTCTAGAAAAATAATTATGTTTTTGTCAGTATAGTGTACCGATTATGTCTTAATGTTTTATGTTTGAATTATTTTCCAAAAATCCTGATAAAATTTGTGTTTACTTCCCCTCATCACTGTCCACCAGATTCACTGTGAATTCCTTGTCAAGAAAGTGGTAGGCCAGTTTTATGTATAAATTGGCTTCTACTATGTTAGAGGAAGCAGACTTATTAGAAAATTACAGTCAGCTTCACCTATAAAAATTGTTCTGAGCTTTGCTTTGTGGTTTTTGTCTCACTGTTGTTTTTCTTGCTGATTTCTGTTGTCTTGGTATACTCTTGTGTTTACTGATTGTATCAGTTATATTTTCTACTGTTTCAAGAAGTACATTTTGATAAAATATAAAATTTCTCATCTGACTTGGTCATCATTTGCATCTCCAGCAGGGATTACTGTACAGTGACTGGACCATATAGATTTCCTGTCATACTCTGACCTACTCAAGGAAGTTGTGATGTGAGGCTTTCTTGTCTATACTTGCTCTTTCTTTCTACACAACTTTTCAGATATTCTTCACTTTTCTCAAATCTCTGATCTTCTCTCTCCCATCAAAGTCAAAGACTCTCTCTCTACATTAATTACAGAAAGTGTTAGAATCCAAACCCACCACATTGTACGCATTCTGTTTCCTTGTTGTAACTGTTTCTTGTGCCTGTCTTTCGTATCCCATCATCTCTTACTTTCCCTGAAAATTTGCATTATTTTATATTTAAGGTTCACTTCTTCTCAGCTGGGTCCTTGATCACTTTTTAAATATGCTGAAGTCTTGATCCTAAAAATAATCTTCATCTCTGTTCACCCCAAGTAACTCTTTTTATATGTTCATATTGCCTCCTGACTACTGTCTTTGTTTTCTATTTTCTTAGTCAAACTTGTAAGAGTGATTATGCACAAGCATTTTCTCAAGTCCCACTTAGTTGTCTGGCTTCTGCCCTATCACTGTTGAAACAGATATATGCAAGATCACCGATGTTCTCTACATCATTAAATTTAGCAACTGTCTTACTTGACCTCCTCACAGTATCTGACTTTATTGACTTTGTTTCTTCTTTTCACTTGACCTTTGGGACCCAATATACCAGATCTTACTCCGTCTTTTTGGCCAATCCTTCTTTGTAAACTTATTTTCTTCCACTCAGCCCATCTATTTTGGAGTTATGAAGGACATGGACCTAGGCCATGTCACTCCCCTCCCTGAGCTCTATCCCAGGTGATCTCCTGAAGATGACCCACATTTTCTCCTCCGAATTGTCTGGCCATGTAATCATTGACCTACTTGACATGCCTCCTTGGGTATCTTAGAAGTACCCTAAATTTCCCTTGTCCAAGGCTGAATTAAAAATCTCAATCTAGCCCAGGCCGGGTTTGGCTCAGCAGTTAGAGTATCAGCCCTTGGACCAAAGGGTCACTAGTTTGATTCTGTGTCAAGGGCATATACCTGGGTTGCAGGTTTGATCCCTGGTCCTGGTCAGTGTCATGCGGGAGGCAACTAATCTATGTCTCTCTCTCCCCTCCTTACATTGTAAAATTCAATGGAAAAATATCCTTGAGTGGGAATTAAAACAAAAAATCTCAATCCAAGCCAGTCCAACCAACCTAGCTCACTCTTAGTATTCCTTATTTCAGTGACTGGCAACACCATCTATCCTGTTATACAAGTCAGAATGTTAGGAGTCTGCCCCTTTCACTTACACTATAGCTCTTATTACAGACTGGTATTAAATATCACATTGGAGTCACTGAGCCTTTCAAAGGTGAGAATAGAAATTTGAGTGACTCTAGGCATTCCTTTAATCTGAAAATTTTCTGTATTGTATTACTGAAGATTCTATTTAGATTATAAAAATAAAAGTTAACAGCCATTGCACATATTGCATTCAAAAATAGAATCATCTTTCGCCTTTTTCTATTTGTAAATAAATCTCTTCACGTGTTTACAGATGACAAAGTAGTGTTTACAGTTTGTAAATGCATGCTCTGTAAATGACTCATGTTTTAAAACTTGGTGGATATAAAGAAAGACAGTAGGATAGATGACCCTCTCACCAGCATGTCAGATACCTATTGTTGGAAAAGGCCATCAATCTTCAACTGTTATCTTAATCTAGAAGTTGTGGCTTTCTCTGATTTTTTTTTTGGTATGCTTTCTTGACTCAGATTTTTGACTTTCTCTTTACAGTGTGATCCTTGTTCCGGCACCTATTTATATTTATCAGGAGATGAGAATGGGAGTGGGTGAAAGGGGGCTTAAATTTAAAGGGTGGTGGATATATGGGAAATGGTATTTCTTGAGTTCGTACTCTCTTCCATACATTGTACTGGATGTTTTATATATATTAACTCAAAAATATTATCTTTATTTTGCTTTCTGTATAATTGCTTATTTTTACCTTTAGGAGAATTTAGATAACTTAGAATCAAATACCTAATAAGTGGTAGAAAACACATGAGTCCCTGACTCCAGAGTTTCTGTCTTTTTTGATCATAGCCTTTGCTTGATTCTCTGATTTTAATAGTGCTCTTAGGAGAATAAATGAGAAGGGATAAGTATGTCAAACAATTCAGGGGATGAGTCTTGTTTAACTCAAGTTCTGTTAGCCTTTCGTTACCATGGAGGTTTTATTGCTAGCTTCAGGAAATAATCTTGAAAATGTTAAGTATATTTACATAACTAAATAGTCATTGTGAAATCTTATTAATTCACACATTAGTAGGGTTGAATACTAAGTTAAAGTATTTTGCTAAACAAGTATTCTTCAGGGATTCTGGGGAAATGTTTGAATTTCAATTTCTTAGTATTTCTTAAACGTTTCCTTTTTTGTGTGTATATATGTATATATCTGCATATATTTAAATGCATTTAAGTAATTAAAATCAATTTTACTTTGTTCTAAAACTAGATTTAGAATTATTCTTACTCTGTAACACGTTAGCTTCATATGCTGTTATTTGAAAATAATGAGAACAATGAAACAAAACTGCATTTCCTGACAAACTAATAATATCCTATAAGTTACATATTTACTTTCTTAAATTAATGGAATCATACTGAGTTTTTGCTTAACAGACATACCATTATGGTTCTATCAAAATACAAAATAATAAGGAACTAAAGTTAAAACCTATAAATTTGGATATAATGTAATTGTCTCTAAAACACATTATAATGCAAATGACAAAATAAATGAGAAATCATTGGATAGTTTTAATTCCTGTAATTGAATAATATGAAGTGAAAAGTGAACTAACAATGATTTTTATGTAACATTATATTCACACAAGAGCAGAGTTTTCCCTTATATAAATAATGCAGCCCTTGGTAGAAATGTAGCTGTTGCAGAATTTTAGCTAAAAAAAAAACGGGAAGGGAGTGCTGCCAACCACTAGAAATGGTATGATTTTAATACAACACAAAGCGTCACCGTGGTGTACATACCGCTACTTGTTACTTTTCAAGCATGTTTACTCAAGTGGAAATAATATCAATCTTCACTTGATTTATGGACCTTGACTACTGTATTAGAAAATGGTTTATGGGAAAATATACCAAGCATATGTCATGTATGACTCAGTGGCATAAAGAGCTAGAATATTACTGTTGGCTTTAATGCTTGGTTTGACTTCCGAAAAGTGAATGATTAATTTTGCACCACTATCACCTAGTACATAAAAATACTATCTACGTTATAAAATCATAACTTTTAGAGTCATGCAGAATCTTAAAAGAGCACTTGATTCAACATTATCTTTCAAATTATGTTACGTCTGCAGCCCAGATGTTTTAAGAGACTTGCAAAGTGTCACATTTAACCTGTGGTGAAGGTAGGAATCAAACCATGTAGAATATTGTTCTAGTCTGCAAATTCAGGGTACCTTTAATTTCATCTCAGCATTTTTAGATTATGTATATTTCCAAGAAATGTGCCATATAAACAGGGAATTCATTCAACAATATTTATTGCACGTCTACTAAGTGCTGTGAATGCAATGAAAGGTAAGACATCTGTGGTCACATGTCTCATGAAGCTTCTATTTTTGTGGAATGGACCAATACAGCACAAACATTAACAATTGTGATCATTGCTGTGAAACACATAGTTCAGATAGAAGAACAGAGGAGCACCTACTTAAGATAGGAGGTCAGGGGACTTCCAGGAAATGGCATCTATGCTGAGACCCGAAACAGAAGGTGCCATCCATGTGGAGAATAATCAAACAGGGATAAGTAACACATGCAGAAGTTCTGAACCCTTCCATGTTTTAAATTTATTTATGGCTTCTTATGCATCTTGTATTATTGAATCATATATTTACTATAGTTTTCTTCCTATTAAAATACATGTAGCTTTGCTCAATGGTTTTATAAACATATAAAATAATTGTATAGTATGTTGTAGAGTGATTACAGCAGTACTTTAAAAAAAGTAATTATTGAACAAGAGCAAGATGTTAATGTACGTGAAATCATCATAACACATGAGCTCAATGGGATTCACTGGAAGAAGCCAGTATTGCTCATTGATTTCATTATAAGACATATTGATTAAAAAGTGTTAAGCCCTGGCCAGTTTGGTTCAGCAGTTAGAGCGTCGGCCTGTGGTCCTGAGAGACCCGGGTTCGGTTCCCACTAAGGGCACGTACCTCGGTTGCAGTTTGTCCCCGGCCCTGGTCGGTTGTGCGGGTGGCAGCCACTCGATGTGTTCCTTTCACATCGATGTTTCTCTCTCTCTCTGTTCCTCTCTCTCCCTCCCACTCTACCTGAACAAAAAATGGAAAAATGTCCTCGGGTGAAGATAAAAAAATAAATAAATAAATAAAAAGTGT